GTTGCCTGGTTGCTGATGTGTAAAAATTACACCATGCTTGTAAATTACAGGCTAAATGAACCACTTGACCATTTTCAATCCTTTGATTTTAAAGGTTTGTATAATGTGCAATATCCAAAAGGGCATTAACAAGTTGAGTCAGTGGGCAGAACAGTGTCAGATGAGATTCAGTGTAGACAAGTGTGAGACAGTGCATTTTGTTCAGAAGAACATTTTCTTTCAATATAAAATGGGGAGTCCGATTCTAAATGGGTTGTGGCACCTGTGCGTATATTTGCACAGATCATTGAAGGTGACAGGTGGAGAGAGTAGTTAATAAAGTATACAGCATTTTCAGTTTTATTATTAGGAACACAGAGTACAGGAGCAAGGAAGTGATGTTGCACTTGTACAAGACACTTGTTAGACTTCAGCTTGAGTATCATATATGGTTGTGGGTGTCGTATATTCTCGGAAGGATGTGAACTCATTGGAACGAATGTAAAAGCGATATACTAGAATGATTCCAGAAATGAGAAACATCAATAATGAAGGTGGATTGAAGAAGTTGGGACTGTTTTCTTTGAAGAGAAGAATGCTGAGAAGAGATTTGATAGAGATTTTCAAAATTATGAGCAGACTGGCTAGAGTAGATAGGGACAAGCTGTTCCACTCATAAAAGAACAGAGAGCAAGAGGGCATAGATTTAAAGTAATGTGCAAATGAAGCAAGAGTGATGTGAGAGAAAAACGTTTTCACACAGTGAGCAGTTAGGGCGTGGAATGCACTGCCTGGAAACATGGTGGAAGCAGATTCAATTAAGGCATTCAGGAGGACATTGGATGGTTATTTGGTTAGAAACAGGGACATGAGGGAAAAGGCAGGAGATTACCACTAGGTAGATGAACAATGGACCAAATGGGCTCCTCCTGCACTGTAACGATTCTGTTTCTATGATGTAAACTATGCATCAAATATGAGGAAAGATCACCAGGTTCATCAAGCCTGCCTCACACTTGAGGACTGAAAGCATCATGACTGGGCATAGCCATCTGCCTCTACCCCCCCACTCCTCACCCCTCCACAGCCATGTAAATTTTTGAGGGGTGGAAAAATGATGCCTTGGATGATACTTTCAATATCCTTCAAGGAGAACAAGAGATACAGAGTGGTGGTGTTGTAGTGATAATATCGCTGAACCAGTAATCCAGCCAGAGACATGGGTTTAAATCCCACTGTGGCAGGCTGGCGGAATTTCAATCCAATTGATAATTGAGATTGAATTGAAAACTAGTCTCAGTAGTGATGACCATTGGTTGTTGTAAAAACTCATCTGCTAACTAAGGTTCTTTTAGACGCCGTCTGGGCCAGACCCACAGCAATGTATTTGACTCTTAAAGGCTCTCTGAAATGGCTGAGCAAGCTATTCAATTCAAGCGCAATTAACGATGGGCAACAAATGTTGACATTGCCAGTGTTACCCACATTCCGTGAAACAATAAGGAAACAAAAATGTAGCCATCATTGTGGAATCGCTGTGTTTAGGAAAATCACTAATTATATTTTTAATGAACGTTTAGAACAGCACTGAATTGAATTGGGTTGCAATGCCTTTTTTTTCTAGAGTGCTATAAATATCTTACACATTTAAAAAGAAAATCACAGTTTGCATGTTTGCAAAATCAGTTTCTGAAAATGAGTTTGTGAATGGAAGATAAGGTCAGAACCTTGGCTTGGGTATTGTGTGGAGATTATTTATTTGCCCTTTCACAGGACGTCGCTCCTGCTGTCTGGGCCAGCATTCATTGCCCAATCCTAATGCCCTTGAGAAGGTGGTGGTGAGCTGCCTTCTTGAACCACTGCAGAAGTATAAGGGAGGGAGAAGGAGGTTAGGATGATCATAACTACTAGAATGATATTATTCAACAGGAAGCAGACCAGACCCAGATTGTGTCATAATGCAAGGGGGATTCAGCCCATTTCACATTAGCTCTCTGAAGGTGCTGTCTGTTTGGTCCATTTCCCCTGCTCTTTCCCCATACTTACTCTTCTCTTTTCATCCATTTAATCATTTACCTTCCTTTTTAAAAACTGTTTAGGATTCTCATTCTAGAATCTACTCTCTCACTCTTCATTCTGACTATGTTAATATTTCCTTTAGTTAACAACAAACAATGAAAATTTTTTCCCCATTCACTTTAAAAAAATCTCCTAATATTTTTATCAGTTTTCATCTTAAGCTTGATTGTTCCATTAAAGAAAACTTAATTTTCTTTAGTCTCATAAATAAAGCCTCTCACCATTGGTAACATTTTTCTGAATCAATTTTGGACTCTCTTTTCTTGACTAAAGCAGCACTCACAAATTGGCTGCAGTATTTGGGCTACAGTTTTAACGAATACTTTGTGTAGTCCTTTCACTGCTTTAGTGCTCAATACTTTTATTTCTGAAACCTATATTCCTGAATTCATTGTAACCCTACCCAATCTTGCACTTCATGGATGCAAGGCTGCTCCACCCTCATCAGAGATGTTAGATTAAAATGGATGCTTTCAATTTCGTAAGCATTTTACCAGCTTGCTCTTGCTTGCTATGTGACAACAGTGGCTACGTTTTAAAAATTCTTCATGACTGTAAAATGCTCTGAGAAGTCTCCTGGCTGTGAAAAGTGTTCTATAAATGCACATCTTTCTTCTTAAAGATGTGTGTCAGAACTCCTAAGTCTCTCTTTTAAAAGTTTCCCCATTCTGTATCAGTTTCCATTATCATTCTTCCAAATGTTTGTCTCCCTCCCTCTCTCTCTACATTATGTTTTATCTGACATCTATCTTCCAAACAGCTGGTTTGATCATGTTCCAGGGAGATCCCCTAATGTCCCCCATTCTGCAGTGAACTAAGTGCAGAAACTTATTCACTGTGCAGTCTTCCCTGCTAGTGGAGATGTTCAACACTTTAAAAGAAGTCCTCAGAGTTTGTCAACAATAGATAGACTTAAGGAAATGTACAGAGGTTTAAATCCTACCTGACTGAGGTGCAAAAAAGGATAAATGGGCTTGGCATGCAAATCTGCTATTACCTGAGTCAATGGCAAATCAGGCTTGAGGTACTGAATCATATTCATTTTAAAATTTCAATCTTGCAACATGATCATTATTAGTAAGGCTAGAGTTTATTGCATATCCCTAGGAGACCTTGAGAAGGTTGTGCTGAGCTACTGTAACACCATAAGATGTAGGAGCAGAAGTATTCAGCCTATCAATTCTGCTGTGCCATTTAATAACAGCATGGATAATCTGATGACCGTCAACATCACCCACCTGCCTTTTCACCATTATTCCTGATTCCCTAACTGATTAAAATTTGTCTATCTCAACCTTGAATTAACTTAAAGACCCAGTCTCAACAGTCCTCTGTGGTAAAGTATTCCACAGATTCACTACTCTCTGAAAGAAGGAATTCCAACTTATCTGTCTTCAGTGGGCAATCCCTAATTCTGAAATTATGCTAACTTGGGCTCCTGTGGTTGATGTGGTTTAGGTCTGTCCAGTGTAGTGCTGGGGAGGGAGTTCTGACATTTTGTCCTAGCACTGACGAAAAAATCGCAATGTAGTGGTAAATCGGGATGTTCTGTGACTTTTATAGAGGTGATGGTGTTCCTGTGTCTTTGTTCTTCAAAACGAACTTAGGAAGTTCTGTCAAAGAAGCCATGGCGAGTTGCTGCAGAGAATCTTGCAGCTGGTACACGTTACAGCTATGGTGTGCCAGTGGTGGAAGGAATGAATGATCGAGAAGGTAGATTGTCTACTGATCCTGGAGCCTAGGCTCTATTCACAAGCACTTTAGTCGTTTGACCTTTATAAGTAGGATGTGTTCCACTGGTACTCACATTGGGCAAGTGGAAGTCCTATATGTATGCATATTCAGGTAAAGTAATTTGGAAAATCAAAAATGGGAACCGATTTTCCTATGTGTCAGATTATTGAGTTAATAAAGGTCATCTTTTAAAATTGAATTTTGTGGCACTGATTTTTATTATTTCACACCATGGGTAATTGCTTTTTCACAAAGTTTATGATTGACCCAACACAAAATTGCAGCAATTGTATTGCATGATGAAAAGTGCACAATGGTGACTGACTTCAAGTACCAGTGATTTCAATTGAAATGCATCAGCAGGAAAGCCAAGCTTATAAATGAGAATTGAGGAATGAATCTGGGGAGAGAAAAACTTGAGAGAAATAATGAGAAAGGCGTTTCAAATCAGTCAAAAATAAATGGCACAATTTTTGTTGAAAGAAGCATATGAAAGTTAATGAGACTTCAAAGTCTTAGACAAAGTATGCCCCATCAACCCGAGCAGCAATGAACAAAGCTGATAGAATGTCCAATTATAAGCAGAATACAGATCAGAGGAAGTATGATCAAGGACTGTGGTCAGACCACACCTTGAGCACTCTGTCAACTCTGATAGCCAAGGTTCAAATTATGAAGAGCCACGAGGCTGTCAGAGACTGACTGAGAAAAAAACTGAAGCCACTTGGGGCCTGTCAGTTTGATTAAAAACGACTGGTGTTCTTAGAATTGTGCAAGGTAGTCAATGATGTGTTTAGAGATAAAAATAAATTCAGAAAATAATTGGGGTTGTAATATCCAACTAATAATGGAAATTGAAACACTTAAGTTCAATGTATTCTTAACATTAGATGTTAACGTATGGAATCAACTCCTAGGTAGGGAAGTGGAAGTGAGAAGCATGGAATCATTTAAGAATGAATTGAATGGAGGAAGAATCTTCCTGGATGGATGAATTATAATGGGCCAAAAGACCTTCCTCTCTGTAATTATCTTGTGACCAGGCACGGAGCAGGAAAAGATTTTCTCAACTAGAAATCTTTACACTATTATTTAAGAAACACTCAATGCAGAAACTGGGCTGCATTATAATTATTAACAAATTGTGATTGTTTAACAGTGTTTTTAATTCTGTGTAAATGTGTATGTCTTTTGAACTCCTTACACAGGAATGAATCAAGTGGAGCTGTGGTTGGGTGTTCTCTCTCTTCTGCCACTTGTGATCCTTGTAATGCTCTGTTCCAGGTGTAGACTATTTGGGAATCGCAGTAAGTACCCATTTGCTTGGTTCCACATGACATTTGGTGGTCTTGGTGTGGATTAGAATGTCAAATTCAGACAATTAGCACTTTGGTTATTTATTTCTTTCCATGAGATGTGGGCTGCGAGCCCAGCATTTGCAATCTATTCCTACTTACCCTTGAAATGAGCGGCTTGTGAGGCTATTTCTTTTAAGAGTCAACCAGATTACTGACAGTCTACTGGATAAGAATGGCAATTTTCTTTCCTGAAGGACATTAATGAACCTGATCGACTTTAATGACAATCGATAACGGTTTCATGTTACCTTTATTGAGATTAGCTTTAATTCCAGATTTATTAATTTAAATTCCACCAGTTGCCTTGGTAGAATTTGAATCATGTCTGCAGAGCATTAGCTCGGTAATCTGGATCGATTACTATTCAATTTACATTACTATGCCACCACTTCACTCCCCTTTTAATGTGTTTCTTCTCTATTGTTGTCTGCATGAGATTGTTTTCTGCATCCACATCAGCTAATTGGGATAGGCACCAGTCACTGTTTCGATAGGGAGCTCAGTTGCTTGATAAACTGATAAACTATGTTTCATTTTTTTCTTGTTTGCTCTCTCCTGTTTTTCCTGTCTCTCTCTCTTCCCCCCGCCCCATCTTTCTTGATCTCAAGCATTAAATATCCACTGTAATTTTAAAGTTGTGAAATACTATATAATATTTTATTCTTTCTTCCATGGGAAGTGGGCATCACTGGCAAGACCAGCATTGATTACCTATTCCAATTGTCTGTTATCTGAATCGGTATTTCAAAGTGCAGTTAAGAGGAGTCAACCAATTTATTGTCCATCTGGGTTACATGTGGACCAGACTTGGTAAAGACAGTAGATTTCCCTAAAGGACATTAGCAAACCATATAGCTTTTTATGACAATTGATTGTAGTTTTGTGGTTACCATTACTTCTAGCTTTATGTTCATGATTTATGAATTGAATTTAAATTCCTGAAATTGGAATTTCCCTGATATTAACTTATTTGCCAGCTCAATTATCCAGATTTATGAATAGAATTTAAATTCCATCAGCTGCAGTGGTGGGATTTGAACCTATATTCCCCAGAGCACTTGTCTAGGCCTCTAGACGACTTGTCTAGCATTACATCACTGACTCCCCTGTTAAAAATAGAACATAAAGTAGTATATTTGCAATGGAGAGGGATTCATAATGATTCTAACTTGGAGCAGCTCCAGAATGCATCTTCTAGTTTTTTGCTTCAACATATTTTATGCCTTTTTAATGCATGCCTGAAAAATCAATCCAGTATAAATCTACTGAATGAACTTTTCTGTGGTAAAATTCTGCAACGCTCTTCAAATCCCATCTTTTATAGGTCATGGTCATAAATGTCATCAAGATTGAGAGGTGGGAGGTCTAAAAATAATGCAATGTGGAAAGTGAAATAAAAGCGATATGTTGCAATCAGTTTAACATTTTTTAATGAAACCTTCATGGGTTTCGTCAACTGCAAAATACAACAGTGTCATCAAATATATTCTGAGAATCAATCTGTTTCAGTTAGGTTGTGCAGACAGTGAGTTTGACTTCGCTTTCAGTGCTGGGTAATGTTTGAGAAATGTCGCTGTGAAACTTAGACTGGGCACAGCAGGCTGTTCTGTTGAAAGTTGACATGAAACATGAACGTGTTGGTGGGGGTGGATCAGAGGTATGTTGGGAACCTGACATGTATTAACCTCAGGACTGTATAGTTAATTGCTGCTTCATTTACAAATTTGGTGCAAAACTTGAACACGTGGATACTCGCTTACCCACCACCCTCCACCACCACACACGCCTGCCCCCCCAGCATTTGCAGTTCACGGAGACATCTCCCACATAGCTTGCTGATTATCAATATCCTGTTAAATGATACTAGGGAGAGACTTGCATTAGCATAGCACCTTTAATGACCAAATGTTTTAAAGCACTTGTCAGCCAACTGGGTATCTTTTTCAAGAGTGGGCATTGTTATAATGTTTGAAGCCCATTTATGTGCAGCAATATGATAACAACCAAATAACCTGCCTTTAATGTCTAGGCCAAGGCATAAACATTGGCGAAGACCCTCCTATTCTTCAAAATGGTCTCAATATTTTTGGAAGTTCATGGAAAAGGACAAAAACCTCTACGCTCTTTTGAGAAACTTGCAACAAAATGCCACCTAACTCTACCTCTCAGGATATATGACTGTCTCTCACTACCAATACTTTTCTAATCCAACTTTGGAATGATACATTGAGGGCTTTACAGTCAAAAATGGTGAAGTTACAGCAACAACCATGAGCAAATTGACACTCACTTGAATGTTGAAACTGATCACTACTGATAATCCACTGCCATCCAACTACTAAGATTATCACGTAAAATTGTATTTTAATTATTGACAATTCATTATTTGCTACTTTCCCTCGAATACTTTGATGTTATTTCAAAGATATTTGCAGAAACTCCATGAAAATATTTTGTGTAAAAGCACAACATAAAAGTGATTGATATTTTTCAACAAAATGTTTTGGAATTTTAGCACTATATTTGGTCTTGTAACTGGATCTGCAGCAAGAACTTAAGAATTTTGGCTACTTATGTAAACTGCACCATTCATTTGCAACAACTAGACCTCCTTAAGACATAATGAACTTACTGTGGATGTTGGAAGTATGAATTAAAAATACTGCAAATACTCAATGAGTCTGGCAGTATCTATGGAGAGTGAGAAACAGTTAGTGTTTCAGGTCAAGCTGACCTTTCATTTAAGTTTTGATAAAAGGTCATCTGAACCTGAAACATTAACCCTGCTTCTACATTAAAGTCGCATTGCAGTCGAGAGGAAGCTATCTCCCAACCTGCACCAGTCTCTTTCACACATTTCCCAACCCCTTCACCACAACTCTCGGCCTCCTTCCCCAGGCTTGCTGATCCATCAAGTTTGAAACTTTCCTCCTGGTGTTGAAATACCTCCATTATCTCCACCTCACTTTCTTGTTGCAACATTCTCTAACCTTCAACCTTCCCAAATCTCTCCCACCATTTTCGGACCCTTGTACATTCTCTGACTTCTTCTCCCCCACGATTGGTGCCTGACCTCTACTTCCAAGTATCTAAGCACGAGAGCATTCTTCCTAAATATCTCTTATCCCTCTCCTTTAAGAGGCTTCTTAAAATCTGCCTCTTTCATAAAGCCTTTGGTTACCTTGCAATGACACCTTCTTCAATTATGTGTCATCTTACAACTGCTTATGCTCCTCTACTGTCGTTGTACTGTTTTGCTGTGTTGAAGTAAATGCAAATTATTGTTTATAGCTCAGTAAGAGACCAGAAAATCTCTGTTTTTGGAGTAATAACATTTTAGTATGACCTTTTTGAAGAAATTTATCACTGCTGGATCCTGACTCAATTTCAGTGAAGCCTTTGATATTTTCATTTTTTTATTATTCTTGTTTGTTCTCCAGTCCTTAACAGTGGAAGAAACATAATTTAGTGATGAAAGACGAAGTATTTAAGAATGTATGCATCCATACATGCATATCCCCTCCAATATTTCAGTCAAGTCGCCATAGACTTACCAGACCATAGGGCTGTTCTGTCATTAGAGAGAGATGACTGGTGGTGGGTCAAGGTGAGGGGAGAGGTTGAGAAGGAGAGTCCTTTGTGGTAACTTCAACCAGTAATGGGAATTGAACCCATGCTGTCGGAATCACATTGCTTTGCAAACCAACCATTCAGCCAAATGAGGCAAACAGACACCCTCCCTCTGATACTTATCCTTCTATCAACAGCTAGTCATTGACTTTTTTGGGAATCTTGATTTTCACTGCTTGGTTGCTACATTTCCTGTAGGAGAATGGAGATTATACCTGAACGGCAGTAGTGTTTTCTGACATCTTAAGGCGGAGAGTCAATGTATAGGTGCAAATTCTTTCATTCTTTATGCATTTTTAATTAATTCTCAGAATGTTGGCATCTCTGACAACGTTTATGATCCATTTCTAGTTGCCCTCAAAGTTGGCAGTGGGTGCTTATTCTCTTAGGTGCAGTCAGTGTGAGGAAGATGCTGCCATACTGCTGTTATGTTGGCAGTTCCACTGATGCCAACAGTGATATAGTGTCGATGTATGTACACATTGGATGTACATGTGGCTGAAAAGGAAATGTGATGGTTGTGATCTCATTTACCTCCTGCCCCTTTCTGTCCAAATGAAAAAGATTGCTGTTTTGGTAGAAGTCGAGTGTTGATCTTCACAAAGGAGGTGTAGCAGACTTCCTTTTTGGACTTTCCACTCAGTTTCGTTGCATTGCTTTTTCTCCATGAGTATTTTCAACTTATGTTTGTCACTAATTTCATCTGGAGCAAACAGAGATTGATAGTTTATGATGAACCAGAGTTCTGACTTTCAGGCTAAACTTTGAACAATTATTTACAGTTGAAACCAGAAATTTGGATGAAATATCAATTTAGAAACACCCAGAGATAACTTTAGTATTATAGAATGTTTTATTTTCTCTCAAATTGTGCCATTAGATTCCCAGCAGATGCAGAAAATCTTTCCAGAACTGATTAGTTTCTTGCTTTCAGTAGCTGCGTTGTGATACTTGCGCAAACTCTAATATTACGGTAAAACAGACCTGGTCATTTATTTCCCTGGTAGTTGTGGGAGTTTGTTGCACACAGCTTGATCACTACATTTCCCGACATTAGAACGGTGATTATATTTCAGAAGTGAACTTATGAATGCTACCTGTATTATCCCTACGTGTGAGTCAGAAGGACCATGTCAAGTCTCACTCCAGAATTTGATGGTCAACTTCATAATGTTCATAATGTGGCCAACAGATTGAGAGTCAACTTGCAAACCCTTTCATTGGCAGGTGGTAGCCATGTGATAGAACAGAACATTAGAACCTCTATTATAACTATCCACAACTCCAAAGGCACAACGTCTGTGTAAAAGTCCATGTTA